AACTCCCGTCACGGTGTTGTGAACTTTGTGAACTCCATGACCGGTCTCCGGTCACAGACCCCGTGACCGGTGAACAGGGGTACGGCACTGTTACGCATAGCACGATTCGTGACGATCGGGATCGCGGATCGAACGAAGGTGCGGGTGTGGAGACTTAGGGCAGGAGGGTCAGGGCAACGGAGGGAGGAGACTGCAAGATGGAACGGGTCGAGGAGAGCGGAGAGAGCATTTTTTTTTTTCATAAGGAAAAAGAAACAATAAGTTAATCAATCAATCAGATGGGGCAGGAGGGTCGAGGTCGGTATCGGGGCAACATGGAAAGAACGACATAATGATGAAAGGGCAAATAAACCTTTCCTTAATCGTTTTTTTAATTTTTTTAAGTTAAAGAAAAAAATCAATCAACCAATCAATCAATCAGTCAATTCGATTGATTGATTGATTGGTTAATTGGGCATGAGGCATGGCCCGATAGGGGGGGATAACCATCGGGGTCGCGATCGAGATGGGGGAGCGGACGGTACTCTCTCTCTCCCCACCCACCCTCCCCCAAAGCGTAGCGCTCTGACTTGGAAATGTCCAAGTTTTGCACACACACACACACACACACACACACACACACACACACACACACACATACACACACACACACATGACTTTTGTTTCCTTTTTTTTGTGTGCACATGCACGTGCACCACTCTCTCGCCCATGGCACACAGCGCCCCTCACCACACTGCGCACTGTATAGTGTCCCTGCAACCATGGATCAAAGTTTAAACACACAAGAAATGGGACTTGCGAAAGGTAAGGGCAGGTGCCAGGTGGGACTTGTAAGATGGTTTGATAAGTAAAGACAGTGTGGCGATTCACAACGATAGACAGTGTCTCGATCCATGATAATCATGGGGAGCAAGTTGGCTGAGAAGCACGAACATTCGAGCACTTTGCCACACGGCCACCGCGTGAAGGAGAAGATGAAGAGAAGTAACATAAGAAAAAGAATCAAAGGAGTACAAAATTGGAAGAAAAAAAGAAAGAATAATCAAAGAATCAAAGAAGAAAAATCGAAGAGGAAGAACCAAAGAAGAAGATTCTAAAGAAGAAGAAGAAGAGGAATAAGAAAAAGAATGAAAAAAAAAAAAGATGAATAAAGACAATCGCGCACCCTATGCCATGTAGCCACCGCGCGAATTAATCAATCAATCAATGCACGCTAAGGAGGACAAACAAAAAAAATACCAATAAAATCCGGTATCGAATATTGATTGGTTGATTGATTGATTGATTGATTGATCGATTGAATCAATCAATCAACTAACCAATCAGGCAATGAGTGCGTTGATTGCTTGGTTGATTCACGAGCACATTGATTGTTTTTTTGATTTAATTAACCAATCCATCAACTGATCAAGATCCGATTTATCTTGATTGGTTAATTGATCGATTTTATCGATCGATCAATCCATCAACCAATCAAGATTTGATCCATCTTGATTGGTTGGTTGAGTGATTGATTCGATTAATCAATCAATCAATCAATCAATCAATCAATCAATCAATCAATCAATCAATCAATCAATCAACCAACCAATCAGGATCCGATCAATCTTGATCGGTTTATTGATTGATTGATCAATGAAAAAAGACAAGACACAAGGGGAGAGAGAGAGAGAGAGAGAGAGAGAGAGAGAGAGAGAGAGAGAGAGAGAGAGAGAGAGAGAGAGAGAGAGAGAGAGAGAGAGAG